ACAATAAAATTGCTATCAATATAACACAATCCTATTCAGCATGATAAAACTAATGTGTGGTGGCATAGATCAACATTTCAATAAAGAAAAAAATTCAAAATGGAGACTTATGTATTTTATATATTTCATCTTCAAAAACAACAGCTAAGATCCTGACTCAAAGGATTGATAAGGCCCAAATTTGGAAAAAAAAAATGATTGACAAGCCTGGCTAGTATGATATCTATAGAACAGCTTAAAGGGGAGTTATTAGTTTCAGATGTTGCCTAACAAAAAAAAGGAAAACTGTAAAAGTTATTTAACTTCTACTATACTTAAGAGTTTTATTTACACAGACGGCAGGTTGGCTGGTAATTTCCAGCCCATAGGCAGAAAAATTGATGGATGGAAAGAGGATATTCCTTCCATGGAAATACTTCTTGACTATGTTGTGCCAGGATGGCAATTGTAGCTTTCCCCCCCAAATGGCAAAATGTGATTTGTGCTAGCTTGGATGGAAGCTAGCATGGTGCTATTCGGGAGCTAATTCCTAAGGATTCTATTAATTATATTCTATTACTTTTAATTAGTAGTTGTTCAATGTTATAGTATTTCAATTTTCTACTTTTGTTAAAATGGGAAAAAAGATTCCTAATTTTTCACCTATGTAACTCTATTTATAGGGCCAAGTTTCATCCAATGTGAACAAGTAAGCTTTACACATTGTCTCCCTTCTCCTCTACTAAATCTCTTTTTTTTTAACAACAGTCAGCCCAAATCCAACCCATCTATTAAATAGACCAAAAAACTCATCCTAAACCCAACAAAGCACAACATATACTTAAGTTTTGATTATTTAAACCTGAGCTGGAATAGACGCAATTACCCAATTTGAACACTTACAATTTATAACAAAAATGAAAAATATATGCCATCATTAAATAGGCTTCCTCATGTCTTCCATATGGAATAAGGCCCTCGAGATTCCCTTTAGCTTCCCATACAACTTGCTTGAGAAGGAATACAGGACAAGATCATTGACAACTGTATTAAAATTTTCATCTTCAAGTGCAATAGGATCAACAATGCAGTCAACCACAACCTAGTCTTACTCTTTATTCAAAGAAAATTTTGTTTTATCATCCTCATTCTAGTAAGTAGTAGGTCAAAAGGGATAGTAGGGATGCACTATTGGCTTCTTCTCTTTGTCGCACTTCTTCGCCTTAAAAGTCGCCCCAAATTAAGGACCATTGTATTTTTCTCATCTTTTGAGGCAACTTGCTCATTGAGTCACACTCAAAAATCACAATGTTTGTAGATTTTTTTTTTTCTTTTGAGCTGATGAACCAGCTTCTAGGTCGTTGTCGATTTTGATGAGGATTGACTGAAGTGCCTTACCCATAGATGATGTGTTCACCAGTAAGCTCAATTTGGCCACAATCTTGTTTGCAGTTATGTTAATATAGGTTATTGTTGGAGTAAGAGTCATCATTGAAGGAAGAGTTGTTAATGGTGTTGAAGTCACAAGAACAGGTTAGGCAACCTTTGAAAGAGTGATCTCTCTTCTTTCTTTTTCTCCTTTGTATCTTCAATTATAAGATTTAGCAGTTTTTCTTAAAAGGGTTACTCCCCTCAGTTATTAGATTTCCTTCCTCATCTGCATCATCAAGTAATGTTCCCAAATCAGGATTCATATCTAAGCTCATGTTAACATCAATGTGTTCACCCTAAAGCTCAACCACGTCACAATCTTCTTTTGTATTTATTGTAATATAGATTATTGTTTGAGTAAGAGTCATCACTGAGGGAGAGATGCTGATAATGTTGAAGTCATAAGAACAAGTTAGGAAGGTAATGGAGCCTTTGAAAGGGTGACCTCCTTTCTCCCTTTTTCTCCTCTATATCTTCAATTCTATGATAGCCATCTTTTCCTCAAAGGGTTCCTCCCCTCAGTTATTAGATTTCCTTCCCCATCTGCATCATCAAGGAATGATCTGAAATCAAGATTCATATCTATGCGTATGTTAACATCGATGTGTTCGCCCTTAAGCTCAATATGGCCACAATCTTGTTTGCAGTTATAGTAATATAGGTTATTCTCGGAGTAAAACTCCTTGCTGAAGGAGAGTTGTTGATGGTGTTAAAGTCACCATAACATGTTATGAAGGTAATGGACCTTTGAAAGAGCTACCTCCCTTCTTCCTTTTCGTCCTCTCTATATCTTCAATTCCAAGATTTGGCCATCTTTTCTTCAAAGGGTTACTCCCCTCACTAATTAGATTTCCTTCCTCATCTGCATCATCATGGAATGTTCCCAAATCAAGATTCACATCTAAGCCCGTGTTAAACATCAATTGACGGGCCTCCAAGAATGTCAAAACCTACAAGTCATAGTGACTTGTTCAACTTGACAAATAAATAAATTTCATATATCAAATTCAAAATTAAAGTTCATTTTAACTATCATTTGAGTCAAGAGGACAAGTATTGCCTTAATCATATCATCATGAACTACTTTCACACATGAATAGAGAGATTTGGGACACTCAACTTGCGCTTTGTAGTTTTACTCTGGCAGATCATAATCGACATCCCTTTTGTCGAATTCCCAAAAAAATACTTATTATTTCAATCTTAAATCATTTGCTTTAGTCCTCTCATATTCATGCCTTGATGGGAATAAAACTATACCCCCCTTGAAGCCCTTTTATCATGAACAAACAAGACCTTGAAATTGTTGAAGTTACACTTTACTCACTACTACCATATAAGGATGAAGTAGGAGAACACGCTTTCAAATAAAACCAACATCACATATGTTGGGGTCACCTCGAAGAAGTTCAAAATCGCAAAAATCTTCATGAAAATAGATGTTGTAGCCCAAGAAGCACAACTTGTTATCAAAGAGGTTGTTAGGGAATTCTTTGCTTCCTACAACTATGATCCAGTACACTTCTGAAAAATTGAACTCCTCCAAGCTAACAACACCTCTCGCCTTAATCGACGAGTTAAGGCACCTTTCCACCTTATTGAAGCTCTTCAGTTAGTTAAGCACATGAGCCACCAACCACAAGCAGAGCTTTAAGAAATGAGGAAAAAATGAAAAATAGAGAACGAAGACTGAAAGAAAAGCAATGGATTCATAACAACAACAACAACAACAACATCAAGCCTTTATCCCACTACGTGGGGTAAAGCATAAAAAAAAAACTAAGGCATCAAGAGCAATACATTCTATAGGCAAACTTGTAATACCTTAATTGTCATATCAAATCAGCGTTGTCAATTCACAAAATCCTCATCACAACTATTGATGTGTCAATTAAATTTCTAAAAAAGATTGGCATTACTAGTTTACTACATATCAGCTCAAGAAGACCAAAATGATGGGCATCGGGTACCACTTTTGATTTGGTAAAAAAATGTTTATTCTACAATAAAGGATTGACTTTGTAGTAAAAAATTAATTTCTTAACGAAGGAAATGAAGGCCTAAATCCAAAGTAGCCACCTTCATCTTTAATGATGACAACAATATGAAGTTTGACTTCAAATTGATAAAACTAATATAATGAATATAAGAGGGAAAAAAAGATCTAAGCATATTTCTTCAAATCTTATTAACATGAGACAAATTCAAAGGAAAGTGAACTTTCAATTCATTTAATATAGAAAATTTAAAAATCAAAACAAAGCATAAAAATACAAGATTTGAACTAATATTTTCCCTCTTTAAATGAGGTGCACGAGAAAACTTCAAAATAAAGAAAACAGCTTTAAGAATCAAGTCAACAATTTAAAGAATGGCTTGAACCCCTACTAGAGTTTTTTTACTCAACATAACAAGACAAAGAAGCTCATCCTAACATGCAACATAATTTAGTGTCAAGCGCAATCTTGCATGGGAGATCTCCTACCTAAATCAACTAATGAAGCATGAATTTGTTCCCTGCTGCAAACTAACACATTTTAAAAGACTTTGAAAGATTCCTTAACAACACAACTTGGGTTCTAATTTCTTGACAAATATTGCAAGCGAAGTTTCTAGGCAGCTTAATATGGAGAATAGCAAAAAGTGAGTTCATTCCTTGCCTCCAAGATTGGCATTGCTAAATTTAAGTTGCCAGTTAAATTGTTGGATAAAGTAAATATATATAATATACGTTAATAGTGTCCATCAATTTAACTGGCAACTTCAAGCCTAGCAACTCTTGGCTCAACAATCATCAAAGTATATATTTGCTCGTTTAGCTTAGTCTTCTCAATTTTTACACCGACTTCAAGACTCATTATTGCCTTCTTCAAAGAGTCAAACTTAGCAAGAGCTCCTTACCTAGCTTCATGAATTACACACACACGCACACACGCCCGCCCGCATATATATATATATATATATATATATATAACATGTCCATGCATGTGTACAGGCATTTATCTAATGGATTTACCATAAAAGATCTTTTTGCTCAAATTCATGACTAAAGTAATGAGCTAATTTGGCTACACTTGAAACTGAAATGATCAAACCTATAGGTATTGAAGCTTAGCATGAGATTAATCATTAACAACCCTCATTTATGATGAGAGCAAAAATAGACTTTACAGCAAGCAAACTTTCATCTATATTTTCATCAATTACATTTAAGAAATCATTTTAGGGGGGTTGAAGGGGGAAAAAGAATGTGAACATTGCAATTAATACATATATTTATGGAATCTCAACCGATGCAGAATCACAAAAGGCTTCAATCAGATCAACTAAATATAAGTGATCCACCACTCTTTCATGTGTTTTTCAAGCAATCCACATTTGATCAAGTAAAAGAGAACAAACGTATTCATTTAGCGTCTTAAACATTAGATCCAACGACAGCAATACCCTGATGAACCAAGTGAACATACATGAATCTTAAAAATATGATTTTTTTTATTGTATAGTTAAGGCTTGAAGCAATGGAAAATCAAAAGGCAATTGGTAATGGTAGGCCTAGGCATATTCAAAAAAAGTTCCAAAAGACATACCCATATCCAGGCAAGTCGACAATGTACCAACTTTTGTTGATCAAAAAGTGATTTATAAGCTGAGTTTTCCCTGCAGACCAACAGCACAATATAACATCATCCACAGCCCAAACTGATAAACCAAGGAATTAGAAAAATACAACAAAGGAAACTCGTATAGAGAAACACGGTGACTGGCAGAGGGAAGGTGACCTGGTTTCTTGGAAGTTAAGGCAATATCCTTTTGGCGGACGAGGGCGTTGATGAGAGACGATTTGCCGACGTTGGACCTCCCGATGACTGCGAACTCAGGCCGGTCATCTTTGGGGCAATCTTTAGCCCGCGAACTGCTCTTCACGAAATCCGCATGCTTGATCCGTGCATCACCGGCGTATGGGCCAACAACGATATTTGATCCCGGCAGCACCATTCCGACCGTCACATTCTCTTTCGCCACCCCCGGTGGCACGAAAAGGGCTTCCCTAACTAGTTCTGGCTGCGGGGCCGCAAATGACGCAGCACGGCGGCCGGCGGCTATGGGCTTGCAAGGGTTTAGTCGGTTGTAAAGAGGGATGCGGCCGCGGTGGACCGAGGCAGCTGTGAGAAGTGAAGGACGTGGCCAGGATATGGAGCTTGTTAGGCTGCGCCAGAGCAGCATGCTGGCCGGAGACGTTAGATACAGAAGTGAGAGCGGAGAGGCCAGATGGTCCGAAGCTTTTGGCCAGATTGCCTGCGTTTTTTCTCCGAGGGGCCGTCAGCCCAACTTCAATAAAAATTTTCATTTTGTGCCTCATTAATTTTTAAATTGAATAAATATGTCCTTCTTTTTAAATTTTTTTTAAACATATGCGAAAATTTCATTCAACCAAGAGAGTATCATATAATCGACCAAGTTGTTCATTGGAGAAACTATTCTCTGAGGAGTCCGAATTCTAATTAAATTTTAACATATATGAATGTTGAATTGGATTTCATTTTTTATTTATGTCTTATCAGCCCGATCGACCTGTCCCAATTGACCCGGTCGGATACAGATATGAAAATTTTGAATTCGCAGGAGTTCAAAAACTCGAAGCGATGTCATTTTACTTTTCATTCTGGCATTTCACTGTTCACTCTCTCTCCTTCGATATTCCAAACAATTCACTGCAAACAAGTGGAATCTTTCAACATTCCAGACGGTGCAAAAGTTCATCTCCACGTGCAAACATGTGCAAGAACTTGCTAGGCCTTTGATACGCTCTTGTTGCATATTCATAGGTATCGATATCATATCAAGTTCTTCTATTTTAAAAACTATGTTGTTTTCCTTTAAAATTCTTAGTTGTTTTTGTTCATTTAACCTCATATTAAGTGTGTTTTAAGTGTGATTTCTCAGTGCATTTGCTTTGATGGCATCAGTTAGTAATCGACTTCTTCAGTTTTTAAAACTAGGTTGCATAGCTTTAAAATATCTGACTACATTTTTTAATGGTGCTTTCACCGCTCTTTCATTGCGCATTTGCTACTACATTTTAACTGCGCTTTTGTTGCACTTTCACTGTACTTTTACTGTGCTTTTGCTACGTTTTTTCTACTTTTGCATTTCTTTTTTTGCACTTTTCCTATACTTTCACTTCGCTTTTTCCACTACACTTTCATCGTGCTTTTACTGCTCTTTGATATTACTTTACTTTTACTTTTTATTGATTGAGTTTTTTTTTCTTTTATTTTTTAGATGGTTCCTTATGTTCGTTCAATTATATAGCATTGTTATGCTTCAACCTTCTGAACTATTTGTGACTCATTTGTCAAAGTAATTCACAAAAAATGTTAAAAACACGTTGAAGACTATGAACACTTATCAGTTTCTGAAGTTCCCACCATTCTAGAAAAATGTACGTCTAATATACGAGCTACTAAAATTTTGGGATATATTAATGCTTCATTATCAAAGGTCATTTGCTGAAATTCACATCAGATGAGGTGGCTCTGCTCATAGATTTTCCCAACAAAGGCTCTGAGATCATATGGTTGAGGGAACCACTTACAGGAGTTTTATCAACTTATATTAAAAATGAAATGATGGAACTAAACAGATCAACTGACCCAACATCTTTGTTTAAAACTTTTATAATATTTTTAGTTTCTAATTTATTTTTTCCCCTCAATAACCTAAGAACTCCAAAAAGACTCATGTCTATATTAAGTAATTTAGATGAGTTCTCATTTATTAATTGGGCCGAGAGTATAAGAAATTTTTTGGTCCATGAGTTCAATAAATTTACCACCGAGTTTGTTAAGAAGCAACTTAGTTACATAAATGATTATGTACCTCTCATATTTGTGAGTGTTAAGATTATTTAAGTCTAATTCTATTTATTAATTCATAAGCTAATATTACTTTACGTGGTATTATGCAGATATGATTTCTGTGAGCATTTCTCACTAAATGCCTATAAATACCTTGATTTAAGATCATTTTTTCTTATATGAAACAATACATAAGTTTTTTAATATGTAGAGAAGGCTAAAAATTTATTTGCTACATTTAAGAAAAGGCAGGTAAGTATGAAAATTATCATGGAGCTCATTTCAATTAATTCCTCTAAGATTGGATGTTTACTAACATTAGTATAATTTATGCACATATTTTTATATCCTCCAGAGTATTATTAAGGAGAAAGTAGAAAATGTGAATGCTTATATAACTGTCATTGAAAATCTTCAAAGATAAACTCACACTCAATCTCCTCACTAAATCCCCTCACCAACACTCAAAGAATTTTTCACCTCATTGCCCCTACAAAGCCGCCCACATTTTACCGATCAAGACCCCCTCTAATTACTAGCATTAACTGATGTAAGAAAAACTAATTTTATTACAATGAATTTAATAAAAATATTGAGTTTAACATAAAGTTATTTTTAATTTAACAAATAATCATTAGTCATTACAATTAAAATTTATTATAATTGTATCTCTGAAGCAATGATATCCATCATCATTCTAGTGTACTGAGATCCCGGCTGCCTGGTTGCTACCCTGATAATGAATTCCTCACTAAAGCATTCAGGGCATGCTTGAGAAATTCACATGTGTTGAAAGATCATCCATTTCTGTCATTTTTTTTCATGGCAGGTTTCTTTGTTGAAAAAATAAGCTTAGCAAAATATATATTGTCTCATAATATATAATGAAAAGTAAATTGTCAAGATATTAAATCTTATTCTGAGGCTTCTTCTTCTTTTCTTAGTAGCTCTTCAATCTTGTATTAGAGATGCCTTTAGACCTACGCTTTAGTGAATCTTTCAGTTTTGCATTGTCACTATATGTATTTCCAATAAACTTATAATTTTTTATCTTGTCATCAAGAATCAAGTCTATATTTTCAGTCTGTCCTTCATTTCATCCAACATGTACTGCTCAGCCTCCTAATTCCCTTGTACTCGTGTGTTAATATGATATGTAAATCTGCTGGGATAATTTCTAAATATTAATTTACTTCCAGCTTGTAAATTATTCTTTCATGTACTTATGCCCATGTGGCTTGAGAATATAAATTTCCGAGCTCTTGTTGACCATCGTAGCATTAGGTACTTCTAAGGGATCTTCACAATATTTAATTGCCTCAAAACTTATGTAATAAGAGCATAGCAAACCGATCGTCTCAAACTTCATACAGGTGCATTGAATGCTATCTTCTATTGTATCAGAATCAACAACTCAAAGGTTAGATTGGTCCTTATTCTCTGTGTACTTGATTAAAAACTTCAGTCCTATGACTTTGTTGTTGTTATTAAAGCACCCGACTTTTGATGGAACTTTTTTAGAGAAATGTCATTAGCACAGCTTATGATGAGTGTGTTTATGGTCCTAGCCATTATTTGGTTCTAATCAATAAATAGTTTTATTAAATGCTTATCACTCATTATTCGTACAAATGTTTTAAACAGCTATGCAATAATTCAATTATTTTTCTCTGACAAAAAGGTCACCGCTAATAAAATATTCTATTAATGATTATTAACATCGACAAATGATACACAAACTAAATTCATTTATTTAACCTATGACTACTATAAAAAAATCACACTCTAAAATAGTCATAATCTATCATACTCATCCTATCAACTCAAAAAAAAATTTAACAAAATATTAAATCATCAATTTGGATGTCCTATGCAAACATGTTGTCATCAACTTGATGATCTTTAAATAATTGAATCAAAAATTAGTATCCCCAAATTCAATCTTTGTTCTTTTCTCTTTTTGAATAAAGTTGTATGCATCCCTCTTAAAGAATCCAATATTCTTGATACCACCAACTTCCTCTACAAGGTAGAAGAATGCATCAACTATTTTTATCCGGACTTCTATCATTGATTTCAAAACTGAAGCTTTCCATCATCAATATTCTGACATGATCTCAGAATGTGTCAATTTTTATTTATTGCACTTATATGTGTTCGTACTGAGCATTGATGTGCTTTTTCTATGTAGCTTTGTTTTAGAATGGGATGAAACTGATAGCTTTTGGAGAGCATTTGAAGATTGGAAGCGGAGTTTGAAGGTTGGGGAGCCAAAAAGGGAAGAAAATTTAGTGGAAAATGAAGGGGAAGCGCTTCAAGGCCAGTCACAAGAGGCAAAAATGGTTGAGGAAGCTACATCAGAGAGTTTGGAAGAACTAAACTGGGTCTAAATCTGAAAAAAAATTATTACGTGCGGTGTCCGGATGCGACATGTCATGAAATGCACAATGCATTGGATGACAAGTGGCATCCGAAATTGCCTCCAAATGCCACAAAAAATAATCTCTCCTAAATCTGAGGACCTGCAATTTGCTTAAAAATGAGGAGTTGACGGCTCTGAAAGTGGGGCAAATTATTGGGTCAGGTGACCGGAGCCAAAAGATAAGTTCGGACAGCCAATAAAAATTTGCCGCGTCACCTTGCGCTTTTTGACTTGCGCTTTAGTTGCGCTTTGGTTGCGCTTTAGTTGCGCTTTGGTTGCGCTTTAGTTGCGCTTTGGTTGCGCTTTAGTTGCGCTTTGGTTGCGCTTTAGTTGCGCTTTTTGACTTGCGCTTTGGTTGCGCTTTGGTTGCGCTTTAGTTGCGCTTTAGTTGCGCTAATTTTAAAATAATATTTTATTATTATCCGAACCTATCTCTGCGTTCGGTCACCTGACCCAATAATTTGCCCAAATGGAGAGAACGGTCTTTGCTGCAACATTAACATCGTATGTGCTGTCGGAATCCCTAAGTTTTCTTCTATTCCACATTGTACAGTGAATCACCGGTGGAAATTAACAAAACCACTCACAAATTTCTCAGTCTTCCTTTCTTTAAGCCTGAAATGCTTCATCTCCTCACACTCCTCGTCCTCCTCTCCGCAGCCACGGCCGCCCAGAAAAACTCCATCTTTCTCCTCGCCGGACAGAGCAACATGTCCGGCCGAGGCGGCGTCACCGGAAACAGTTGGGACCACTTCATCCCTCCGGAGTGCCAGCCGAGACCGGACATCCTCCGCCTCAACGCCGGCCTCCAATGGGAAGAAGCGGTTGAGCCCATCCACGCCGACATCGACGTGTATGCAACGTGCGGCGTGGGGCCCGGCATGCCGTTCGCGCACGCCGTCTTGGCTGCCGGCAGGGTGGCGACCCCAGTCCGTCTGGTGCCTTGCGCCGTCGGAGCTACGCGGATCCGCGAATGGGCACGGGGAACGGCGTTATATCTTAACTTGATGCGGCGCGCAAGTGCGGCGATGGCGGAAGGAGGGAAGCTGGCGGCGGTGCTGTGGTATCAGGGTGAGACTGATACGATTTCCAGGGAGGATGCGGTGGCTTATGGGGGAAGGATGAAGACTCTGGTTTCGGATCTGAGGCGGGATTTGGGGGATCCGGATCTGCTCATTATTCAGGTATGCGACTTATTAGCCGTCCGATTCAGTCGAAACTAGTAAATAATTTATAAAAATAAAAATTATATTATATTCCTATAGATATTATAAATTAAAAGATTTTTTTACTTTACTTGTTTTAAAATTTTTAATTGTAAGTAGTCACTACTTAAAAATACATAATTCATGATATTAAAAAGACATAATTCATTTATATCACATATTAACCCACTTTTTAATGTAAATAAATAAATAATAAGTTGAATAAATTCAATAACTGCATCGATCATATGTATTATATGTATTCTTTATTATTTAAT